GCTGCCAGCCTGGGGCTGCTTCATCCCTACTCAAACTGCTGCTGTCCTGGGCATGTGCAGGTACTGCACCTGGGAGCTGCTGACTCCAGCTGAAACCGCTCTGGAGTTTACTGAGTTGCATTAAGCGCATGTGTAGATGCACCATGACCCAATTCTGGCATCAGCTACCCTGTGGCCTGTGCCATGCATGTCTGTAGGAGCCCTCACATACACAGTACTGCTGCTTTCACTTCCCCTACTGTTCTGTAACTGCATCACCATTAAGCATCATTTGACATGAATCCAACGTAGCATTTACACTAAATGATTGGGTCAAAGTAGAACATAAAAATGCAAGCTAAATTACCAGAGAACTTGAATGTTATATCACATGGATCTAAGTTCTGAATATGTCCTCCATTGATCTAAGCTGGAATCACTCTATGCCTCCTAAGCAACTGGTCAAAACATCTCCCTTTCTAAATATACTAATATTGACTATATTATAAAAGAAAAAAGAGAGAGAGGGAGGGAGAGAGAGAGATCTTTTGGCATCGACTTCAATTTCACAGTTCCTGACAAACATTACTCTTAGGACATGACTAGCTATTTACTCATGTCTTAAGTAGTGACCCAGCCACATATTCATACAATTAATGGCCTGAAAAAATGAGGAATGAGCCACAAAGCATTTTTTTTTGTAAAAATATGTCTCTATATATATATATGTCTCTCTCTCTCTCTCTCTATATATATATATATACACACACACACACACACACACGATTATATATATCTACACTTCTAGTATCACACCATAAAAAGAAAAAATCTTCACCCATTACAAAAACCACACCCACACAAAGGCCCACTATAGCCACTCGAACCCATTACAATATCCGCCTTGCACGCAACATACACAAAACGAATAAGCAAAACCTGGTCCCTCAGACCAGGCAACACTTCCTATCCATCCCCACTCCGTTTGTGGTGTCACATACTCAGTTCAAGTGTCCTCTCTGCTGTTGTCACTCCAACTCCCACTGGAGGACCTGCTGCTGCTGTCACTGTCACTATCCTCTGTTCCACTTGTCCCTTCTTCTTCTTCACTGCCACCACCTGCCTTTCTGCTCAGGGGATGTTGGATGATCCTGTACCACATGTTTCTGTGCCAGGTGACTATGGCTGCGTCCTCTCCATCCTCCACTACCAATTTCAGGTAGTAGGTCCGGAGTTCACTCAGAGCCATTTTCACACAGCCCACTACCTCTATATCTGTTTGCTGTACAACAGGAGGGTCTTGGCCTTCCACAGGGTACTCCTGATACAGAACGCAAACTGGTCAAAATGGGGCAATGGGCTCCCCTGGTGTTTGGCGAGGTGCCTGTAGTGCCACTTCTCTGGTTAGCCGGCTGACGCTGGTCACCACCTCACAGAGCTGCTTCACCCTTTTCCATACCTTCTTGGCACAGGTGCAGAGCCAGAGGAGGTGGTCAATTGTCTTGGTGGCCCCATGCCAGTTGGGCCACGGGCAGCTGGGTCTCCCCAACTGCCCCTCTCTATGTCTGGGCCATCACTGGTAGAGCTTGGTGGGCTATGAGCCAGTTCAGGTCCTTGTGATCTTTGCACAGATCCTTGTGGTGGAATCGCTCCCACACGGCCTGGCACACATTGCTTGACAGCAGGTCCATGGGTGACATGATGTCCCTGTGTTTTACCATCTCCTGGATCTTCTTCTCATGGTCACTGGGCCTGCATTCTGCAGGCTGTACACATTGCAGCACTGGTTCAGGGTCTCGTACAACCATGATATGCCCACAATCCATGGTCTATGGCTGGTCAGGGTGAATACCCGCCAGGGTCTCAGAATTTGCCCTGCAAAGTACCTCACGAGGCAAGTGGTTTTGGATTTTGTGTTCATCACCAGCTTGCAGATCAGGCTCATATACTTGGCTCACAGGAACAGGAGGATGTCTGGCATGCCCCTGCCCCCGGCCCTCTTGTCCTTGTACAAGGTTTTCCAGGTGACCCTTTCCCATCTGGAGCCCCGGAAGAAGACACCCACAGCCCTCTGGATCCTGTGGGCGACACGCTTGGAAGGGGGGGAAGACCAGTGCGGTGTATAGAAGCACCGGTAACAATGCTGCCTTCATGAGCTTGACACCCCCACTCTCCCATGGAGAGGAAGCGCAGTGCCACAGCCTTAGTTTCTGCTTTACCTTTGCCTGTCTTTTCCCATGCTGTCCTGCCGCTCAGCTCAAGGTCAAAATCTATTACACAGAATTGTGACATTAATTGGATATATGGCCAGTGCTCCCAGCCTCTGGAGTGCACTATAGCCCTTCAAGACTCCCCTTCACTCCAGAGACAGAGAACACTGGTCACCTAATTGGGGCTCCCAGCCAGGGGTGTACATGGGAGCCAAGGACTGTGAGCTCCCATGAGCCGTCAGGGTTCCCAGCCAAAGCAGCACATGAGACTCCCAGCTGTGGGGTCCAGGGGAGCCAAGATTGCTACGTGCTGCTGCAGGGGGAGGCCAAGTTTATGGTCAGCCAGGAGCTTGAAGTGCTCCACATAAAGGGTGGTAGAGCCACTGAGAACCTTACACTCCCAAGTCTCATTCAATTTACTATGAAAATAAAATGAAAGTTTACATTTAATATCCAATTTCCATGTTAAGGAAGCTTGAGTTTTTGCCCTCCTCTTGTGATCAGGGAGGCAATGAATACTCCTTTGAAATATTCTTCTACATAGAAGACCTATTCCTAAGAGAGGTGGGTTTTTTTTAAATAGCCTTAAAAATTTTAAGATTTCCCAGAACACTTCGTATTGTGATCACTTCCCACAACTGCTCCATGGAGATATTTGCCTCTTTCTCCAGTAGTTTATTGGAAGTCTGAAGATCATTTGTTTTACCTCTTTGGACATCTACCCAGGCAATATGCCCTTGCAGTAACATAACTTAACTTATTTCAAAACATTGCCACTGAGGATGCTTTGTCACTTTTCTTCATAGCAACTAGAGGAATATTCCTTGAGGAAAGCTAGTGATATATGTGAGAATACAGCTCCTTACTACCTATGGGAAACAGGCCTGAACTTTGGTATACCAAATGGAAGTTGAAACTGAAATGTGAATTTCTGCTTGCTAGACAAGAAGAATTGAGAATGTGTGCGCAAAGTAGCATAAAATAAATGTGATGTTGGGCATTATAGAGAGGGTCCCCAAAACAGCATTCCTTCTGCAGTTCCTAAACTAAAGCAAACATCGTCACAACAACAGCCAGGGCTTTTTAGCTGCTTTTAATGTCCCTATCCCTTTTCTCTAAAGCGTTAAATCACAGGTGAAGCATTCAGTGCCACTCTTCACCATCTATAAAATGAGACATTTTTGTAAAAGAGAAAAATAAACTTGTTCTTCATCTAGCAAAGGGAAAGGATAAACTGAAAAGAAGCTTGCTAAGTGGTTTTTTGTCATATTTCTGTGGATGTTTTGAAGTTCTGAAAACAATGACTACTTCTAATAAAATGGGAACTCAGACTTCCAATATGAATTGGCAGACAAGAATTTTGAATATGGTTGGGCACCAATGCAGGTGGAAGGTTGAAACCCAGCAGAAAATGAGGCCCTAAGAGGCCTGTGGGCTCTTTTTAAACCAAATCTTACATTCAAAGCCAAAAGTGATTTCTGTCATTGACCACAAGGATAAAACATTTGAAATGACAAGTGAAAAATGCTTCATCTCATGAGGCAGGAAACTTCCATATAGTTAAGGCCTTGTGGCAGGGATCTCAACCTTCACTGTAGTGCAGAGGCCATCTTAGTGATGATAATGTCCCAGGGGCACCATCCTTCTTCTGTGCAATCGCACAGACCATCTTCTCTCCTGCAGCATGTGACACCGCTATAGCAACCACAACAATTGCTTACAAATGAACAAGTAACATGAGAAATGTATTTTATGCCTTTAATTTTCTTCTGAATTTCACTAATCATGCTGTCCGCTTTGGACTGTCACGTTGTCTCCTACTCCCATCTGTTCTGTTTCTCTCAGCTGGAAACAAGATAGAGAACCCATGCCAAGCCATTTCTCCCCTTGCTCAGCTTGGAACCGATGGAGCCTGCTCTTTCCTGAATATGCTGGAGCACTATGCTGGTACACAGTATGTAAGTAGGAGTTGTTTAGCCAGGTGAACATGTTCAGACTTTTCATCATTAAGAAAAAAATTAACTTATTGTGGTACAGACCACAAAGTATAATTCACCTACCAAGTTTTGTTCTCGACAAGTTGTTATCCTCTGAAAAAAAAAAAAAGCAGAATTAATAGCTGGCTGGAAATGTCCACACAGAAACATTTTACCAAAAAACACTGAAACAAAATCAAGATGTCCTGCAGAAACACAGGGCTTCTGACAGAAATCAGGCACATTTCCACCAGAAGTCCTCCCTGTTTTTCTGTCAGCTTACTTGCCCACATGCTTTGCAGCCTGAGCTCCCAGGACTTATAGAGCCCCCATCTCCACTGCAGCCAAAGCCCCAAGAGCTGGGGCTTAGAGGGTTTTTAGTCACCTGGCTCTTTGGCAGTGTGGGTTTCCAGGCTTGGGTCTAGAGGCAGCTGGCAGGGCTTTTAGTGGCCCTAGGAGTCTCAGAAACTTCTCCAAAAGGTCCCCAAATTAAGCTGTTTCATTCCTATTCAGCAAGAATGTTAGTTTTTGTTCTGCTTCTGGAGAGTTTCTACTTTAAATGAGAAATTTCCTGTGGAATGTAAATTCTCATTTTCAGCCAGATCTAAAAATTAACTTAAGTGGCTCTCTTTGTCACAACAATTGCATAGATGGAGTCTTTCACTTGTGCTAGATGTTTAACTAATAAAGTATCAAATTGATCTATGTATACTGTATTCTATTATTACGGGACTGGATTGCAAATCAGCTGATTTACAGCTACAGAATTTCTTAGTCATGTCAGAACTAAAGAATGGAGCCATTTGTGATGCTGAACCACTTCTTTAAATATTTCTCCTTCTCACCTTTCATTGGCTTCCTTTATTTAGGGCTAAATCAGAATGGGAAAAATTAATCTCTGTGATGGCACTGAGCCCAGAGCAAGAATAAAAAATATGGCAATTTTGTGCCCTACTGATCTTGTGGCTGCTGAGGTTGGTTGGCCCCTGTTGCAAGGTAAGACTATTCTGAGGGCTGATCTAACTCATACAGGTTGCAATACCTTTTATTGCTCCATGGTCTGACTGAGGAACAGTGGGAGAATAGAAACAATGCAACCATGACCCTCAGATCCCCTGGAAACCATTAACTGTCAGAGCTTAGGAGGCAGGACATAGTGACAGATATGACAACCATCAACAAACAGGTAACAATTTTTTACCTACCTTCTAAAAGAAAGGTGACAATATAAGAATTATTAGGTTCATAAATCACAAGCCATTGCGTGAACAGATAAAATTGGAGGTCATTTGAGCACTTAAATCCCATGACTGACTGCAGATCCAATATAAATGTTATCTTTTAATGTGATTCAGTGATGAATCATGTCTAGAGTCCAGACATCTCTTAGCTATAGAGAGCATAAGGATCATGTTATAGAGGTTAAATGTGAGGTCCCTTGCACTGCCCACACATGCCATTCTTTTTGTAACAGTTCAAATGTAAGGTCAATCAGCCACAGCATCTCAGGTATGGATACTCAGTAGCCTGAGGCTGATGGACTCTGTGTAGCTAAATTAAATCCAATGTCATGTGACAATTCATTAGGACAGGCAGCTCTAGATTTAGCAACAGAATTTTTTTAATTGGTTATTTAGCTAGATAAAAATTATGGCAAAGACCCACCAATGACAAATGTGTTTTTTAATGATTATAGTAGTTAATCTGCTAATCACTTTTTGTTCCCATGGGAATCAAAGCATAGACTGTGTCAATTATGACTAAAAAGCTATGCTGAAATTGAGCCTTTTCTGATGCATTATCATTACGTTAAGGAAATGCTATATGGTCTGAGAGACAGATTGCTTGCCCTACTGCCTTAATTGCTGGTTTTATACTATATCATCTAGGAGAATATCTTTTTAGTCCTGTTCTCTCTCCGTTAGCTAGAAACTGGTTGTTGACAAAAGGAATGGGGGGGGGGTGTCAATATTCATGAGACTTCCAAGATATAAAAGGATTCAGTTCAAGCTTTTGTTCCAAAGACACATATCTAGAAAAAAGCTGAAATCTTTGCAAGCTTTAATAGAAACACAATTCTGTGATATACTGGTGTTTTCAATGCACCAAATCTTTGTTAACAGATGGTGGCAGATTTATGTGATGAAGTGGGCAGGGTTTCCGTACCATGCTTCTGGCAAACATGATTAGCATTTAACTCATATTTATATCTGTGGACACATAAATTTAGGCATTGCTGGCCTGATTTTCAGAGGCACTCTGTGCACTCACAGATATTAATTCAAGGAGAGCTGTGAGTGCTCCATACTTAAAAAAGACCACCCTGGCCAGGTATGTTCATAGGATGCCTTCCCTTTGTCACAACCCAAGGGTGTGATTTTTGTTTGTGCGCGCTTCAGCACTGCTAAATTATTTCCCGCCACTCGTAGCTTTCTTTGCAGGGTGCATTTCTAGGCTGCAAAAGAGAAATGCATGGTGCAAGCAGTTCCCGCCACCCGCATGCAAATTTGTGTCCCACTATTGGTCAGTTCTAAATTATTCCCACGTGGCGGCTAGCGATTGGCTTGCTAGCCGTATAAGAAGCTTGAGTGGTTTCTGCCCAAGTTGGAGGAGGAAGAGGAGAACTCCACAACCATCTGGAGACAGAGAGAGAGAGAGAAAAAAAAAGGGGAGGGCTTCACATCTCGTGAAGATCTCTAAGCGCTGCGGAGCCTATCGGGCCCAGCGCGTATACCTCAAGAAGGCTATAGGGGTCTGATCAGCCTCTCGCCTCTCCCCGTCACCGCCTGATCTCTCGACGTACCCTTCCCTGCACGCAAGTTCCACGGAGCCTAGCAAACTTCGTGTGAGTGTATCCAGAGCTCTGTCCGGGTTCGAGTCCTGCAGGTTTATCTTCCCGTCGCCGAAAACCCATTGCGACGTACTCTCGTGTTTTGCATCTTCCCGTCGCCGAAAACCCCCTGCGACGTACTCTCATGCCCCGCAGGTTCGAGTTTTGTTGTTTTGTAACTGCAACTCAAGCAAGTTTTCCTGCCTGCACCGCGACCATCTTCGATGCAAGTAAAATAATCTTTAATCAACCACTAAGCTTCCGTGCCTAATTCTAGTGTGCCGCCTGCCTTCCCCGACCCGGCGTGTCCAGGCTGCTGGTCACCACCCGCCACGCGAAAAACGCCCGAGGGCCTCGGACCGCTCCCGGCCCACACACCCTTGACCAGACAAGTGTACAACTGTCTTCCTAACCATTCATTTACCATAGCCAAAATTTGAGTAATAAGTATTAACACTTAGATGGTGTTTTATCTATAGATCTTAAAACACTTTACAAGGAACAGAAACATCAATCCAATGAACAGATAAAAAACTAAAGTCCAAGGAGGTCAAGCAACCAAAAAAAGGCCATGCAGATAGCTGGTCACAGGCAGATGACAACAGAGACACAGAGAGTCCCTGTTCCAACCTGGTACATAAGTAAACTACATAGAGGAAATTCTGGCCCACTGTATATCAACTAGATTAGGCCAGGATTTCACACTTAGTTTTGGCTTAAATTAAAAACTCTCCACATATTAAGCAATGTGCCTTTTTAATAAAGTGACTATATGCAGTGTGAATGCATAACATGAACGTCATCTCTCATATCCTGTTTAGGTTGGAGGAATTTCCAGCTTTGTTAGGTATATCTTTATTACAGTCTGGGAGCTGTAAGCAAGATAAGAACAATTCACTTATACCCATACAACTAAAGGCAGTTCTCTCATTACTATTATATAGAGATGGACACAAATTGTCTGGTTGCAGCATTTGGCAGTTAAGTTTTCAGAACATGGTACTTCTAACGCTTCTCACTGGAATGTTAGCCGTGAGAATTAGCAACCCAAAACAATCAGATATTGAGAGACTCCACAGGTCACAACATGTGGCAGACTTTTATGTTTTATATAAGCAATTTCCAGCCAGTGACACTCTCCCAAGTGTAGCGTTCCAAAACAGATAGATCAACAATGTAAAGAACATATTTAATTGACTGTGTCAGAGTAACTCACAGGGCACAGAACTTTGATTACTTATTAGGTTAAAAATATTTTTCACAAATGACCAAACCACATGGGAGAGCACGTATTCCATTTTTTGATTTAGTAAAGCCCTGTCAGGCACCACAAATTAGATATGCTCAGATAGCAACCTTGACCTTAACTGAGAGGAACCTGTTTATTCTACCCAACGAACACATGGACGTTCTGTTTATGAAATACATCCCTGATACATAAGCTTCAGACTGAAGTATGAAAGTATCTGAAGTATATGCTTTACAATCTCCAGTTAAAGCCCTTCTTCATGCTCTGCTGGAGAAGGCTGAAAGGGCTCCCTCCCTTTGTTGGCTCATGGTGTTAGTAGCCATTAGAAACCTGCATGCTGTGGTCAAAGTTCTGCCGATCCATTGTGGCAGGCAGGGCTCATTAACTTCCCAGGTGCTTTGAAGAGGTGGAAGTTCATCTTTTGAAGATGAGATGGCTCTAGAGGGATTACACTAGGCAGCTCAGGGAGGAAGCATAAACCAAGGTTTATGTTGTGCTACTGTTTGAAATACTGATAAAGCCAGGAAGAATGTGACATTGGGTATTAACTCAGTTGCTGTGCTCAGTGTGGGATATATGTGGACTCAGCCCATTCGTAGTGTTGAAGGAATAAAGAAAGGCACATTCCCAGTTTCCATCATTTTCAGGTGACATTTAAGAAAGCAGGACACTCTTAACAACAAAGCTATTATTAATAATTATTTCTATAACAATAGCACCTAGGAATCACATTCACAGACTAGGTCGTACTGTACTAGACACCATAAAAGCAGTACAAAAAGTCCCACCTACAATAAGCAATGTCTTCACTACTAAGATGTAAGGTTAAAGCCTGAAGTATTTGTAAAACAGAGGAAGTGTAAGCTGACAAATGTAGTTCTTTGATTATAGACAAAAATAAACTTGGGTTTCTAAAGGAAGGCTTACCCTTTGGTTTTTACATATAAGAAATGCATTATGGTGCATTTGATACTCATTTCAATATGGTAGTTATTACAGTTGGTCAAAACTTTCCCAGGGGAACTATTTTCTGAGGTGTTTATGCAATCAAAAATGTTAACGGTAAGTCAGGCTTGTCTGATGTCTGTTAGCATACCTGCCTCTTGGGGCTGCAAGGGCACTTGGCTCACCAACAACCTGGTCCAATTAAATATACATATCCATTCACTTTTTCTGAAATAGAATAGAAAATTGAAAGTTAAATTAAGCTAAAACTTGTTGTGACAGGGGGGCCTCCTCAGGGCCTATCTTCACAGCCCGCCCCCTGTCTCTGTGGGCAACCGCCCACCTATCTCACCCGCCACGCCTTTGATGATAATTAATTCAGTCAGATGTCAATTAAGCGGGAGGCTGCCCATCTAGTACCCCAATGCCAGGGGGCGCTCTCTGCAGCTCCTACCTCCCCAATACTGCAGCCCAAGCCTCGCAGATGGCATCTTGATGTTCACACAATCACCGGCCCCCCACTGGGCCCCAGAATCTTCCCCACAGGACCCCTCTATGATCCTCTCCTATCAGGCGGCCCCTCCACCGTCATCCAGGCTACCTAGCCCCCCCGAAGCCACGTTCCCCTCTCGGGTGTGGTCTCCCCGGGACCTTCAGCCACTTGCCCTGGCCCACCTCCAGGCCAGTCAGGACCCCAGGCCCCTGGCTCTTGGGCGTCCCTCGCGGTGGGCCCCTGGCCCTTTTGACTCCCATAGTCCTGGCCC